TGCAAAGTCTCCTTTTCATAATGTGGGAACACACATTTCTTGAGAAACACACTCCTTTTTTCAGCTGGTACTCAATGATTGGCCCAAAACAACTGCCTTTTAGTTTCTCAAAGCATTATGTGCTTAGTGTGTCTCTGATTGTGATCATTGTTGTGACCTTAAATGCGTGTAAGTTAATCATTGGAACTGTATCATCATTTACAGCGTGTTGGGGGAGAAGTGTTGTTGGCAAATTCAATTTCATTCCAATACTCATGTTGTAAATCTACAAGCAAACAAAGAACAAAAAAGATTATCTCATAAGCCATCCAATATTCGTTTAAAAAGCTTATAATTCATCCCTTTTTTGACAAAAATCTGCGGAAACCATTTCTGCACAACCGAAACGGATTCGTTTTTGCGAAAACCATGTTTATTCCAAAATTCGATTTCCATTTTCACCCAAAATCTGTAAACCATTCAAAAAAAAAATTGGAACCCTTTTTTTTCAAAATCTTAGTTTTTGGGAGGAGATAATGTGGAAAACGGTCTGACCTAAATCGATAAATGCATGTTTATTCCGATTTCCATTTTCACCCAAAATCAGTAAACCCTTTTTTTCGGAACCCATTTTCTTTGTTTTTCAAAATCTTAGTTTTCGGAAAGAGATAGTGTGGAAAACGGTTAAAGTTACTGACTTTTACCGGTTACTAACCCGATTTCGCAAAGATTTGACCTAAACCAATAAAACCCACAAATTTTTTTCATCAAAAAACAAAGTTTTTATCCTCGAAAACTAAAACTAAAATGCGATTATAGTGTCAAATAGATAGCGTCAAAGACTTTAAAGTTAGAGATTTACCTTCCAAAACGCACCTTTCGTTTCAGTTTTCTTCAAGTTTTTGTGACAGTTTATCGTACCTCGGTTTTTTGTGTAGGCCTTTTTCACAACCGGTTAATATATAAATGTAAGTGGGCCTTTTTTTGTTTTCTGGGCTTATTTTGTTTTTATCTTTTTGAGTGTACTTGTGTTTTGTCATCCGGCGTTAAAAAAACCCTATAAAAATGTTAAAAAAAACATTATAGAAATGTTAAAAAAACCTTATAAAAATGTTAAAAGGGAAATTCTAGAATCAGAAAAAGACATGAAACTGAAATCGAAGAAATTTATTATACGAAACCGAAAAATACAACAATAACATATTACGAGATACAAATGTTCAAAGAAAAAACTTACACAAAGTCATGAAAACTTTAAATGAGTTATATTTTTAAAAGGCACTAAGGAAATTCTGTCAACTCATCGAAAATGTCAGCTGCTAGCTTTGTTCTCATATATTCAACAGTGACTTCTGAAAATTTGTTTAAGCATGGGATCCCCATTGAACAACACTCGATCAACTTCAACAAGTAGATTCCTGAATCTTCTAATGTCCGACCCTAGTATAAAAAATAATTATTAGCTGATTAGTTACACACTTGTTATAATTCTTTTTAAAAAACTTATAATTTACTTTTGGCAAATCTGTCTTTATG